TAGAGCGTGTTGATGAAAAAATGACACTTCAGCTGTTAAACCGGTTTGTGCCGTTACACAGCTAACGCTCTACGTCCATTTCAGTGGATGAAAATGAAGGTGTAATGAGGTGAGAATTCTGTCTCTCTTTTGCTTTTCACAACAACCGGTTCAAGAACTTTTAGAAGTGGCGCCCATTAAATAAATTGTCGACTTAAAGAATTCACTACATTAAAATAAAATTATGCATCAATTCTTGCGTAGTGTTTACAACATTAACAAAACAATAACAATTTAAAAAAAATAATGTTTGCCATTTAGCATTGCTGAAATAAAAATTTCATTCTGACTAGAAAAATGTGTTTAACAATGAAGGATTGTTAAATATTAGATGACGAGTGACTGATCTAGTTTTTATTCATGTTGAAGACTGAAGAGAAAGAAAAAAACCTGTATAAACTAGGACACGCAAATGAGTAAACCTTTAATCATAATTAATCATGATTAATTACAATGTCATTGATTAATCATGATTAATCATCCATTGTGAGACTCGTCTGACACGAGCAGAGCGTCTGACCTGAAGTTGAAGCCTCCACAGACACAGACACAGGCTGTGGAGCTGAGGTGGTGCAACAGTAGGAGCAAATACTGTGTATTATAGCTATGATGACTGGATGAGCGGTGGAATTGTTAGATTCAATCTGATTATTCTTTACAAAATGAATGACTGCCATCTTTAACACATTCATTTTGACAGCCCTCCATTAACCTTTCTGTTTTTTTACTTTTCTTTTTAAATCAATGAACCAGTAAATGGCAGCTGTGGACCTTAGATTGTCCAATGACTTCATCAGTCATATGACTGTGATGGGAAATGATTTGCTCTTAAATACTTTTAAAATATTTAATATGTAAGAAAATAAAACAAAAATCATAATTATTCAGATAATCTCCAATAATAAAATGTGACAAATTACGCCACAGAACGAACACATTAAAAATGCTGTACACGCACAATATGCGGATATATTGCACAATTTATTTATTTTATTTTAAATTTTCACGTTTTTTTTTTGTCTTTCAGAAACGTGTTCCGGAAGCTTCTGTCCCACTCGGACACAGAGAAAGCAGACGTCTTGTCCTTGGAGGAGATTCTGGCTGAAGGCTCAGAACTGCAGGAAAGAAGTCCGTCTCAGATTGACCTGTTCAGAACAGGAAAGGCTAAACTGAAGGCCCTGAGGGAGGCCATGTATCACAGTTCAGAGCACGGACACGTCGACATCACCATAGACGTACGGAGCCTCGGTGAGTTTCCGTACAGACGCTGCACCTCCTCAGCATGTGTTTGATGGTAATTCATGTGTGTTTACTTCACCGTTTTCCATTCCAGGAGTGCCGTGGACCTTGCACACCTGGATGGAGTCTCTGCGAACATGTTTCCTGCAGCACCGCCGACCCCTGATTCAAGGTCTGCTGAAAGAGTTCAGCTGCATCGAGGAAGAGGAGTACACGGAGGAGCTCATCACACACGGCCTGCCTCTCATGTTTCAGATCCTTCGAGCCAGCAAGGTACTGCACCATCAGCACTGTTTGTTCTTATGGGTTTATTTTAGCTCTTCCCTCAGAGTTTGGTGTATCAGTCTGCCTCACTCACCCCACTGACCCCACTCATCTTATGGTTATTTTGTTAATTGTGAAATTAGTAAAAAAAACAAAAAAACAAAAATTGATCTAATTTGTATTTATCTAAAATATGGTTTCTTTTTTTAAAAAGCAAATACACATTTTTCTTTGCGATGACGTAGCCTCAGATAAGATCGTATTATAAATTAGGAATGCATTTACAGGGAAAAGGGATAAAACAGATGATGAAATGTGTGTGCAATGACATTTGGTGACAGCCGGATCACATGTTGATGATGTTAGCTTCTGAGCTAAGTGCAGTACGAGGGAGAGCAAGTAGATGTGCAGAGAGTACAAAATGGTTGTGTTAGAAATCATCCACCTTTGGAATGTTACAGCTGGGACACATCTACAGAGAAGGACACGTCTTATGAATAAAAGCAGCTCTGTTCACCAAACGGTGTCATTCTGCTGTGAATGGCTGTGTACAAGTTAGTTGAAACAAACCAAAGACTAAAATCAACCAACTGTTGTTGTTTGATGTAGGAAAGAACACGCTATTCAAAGACTAATAGATCATTGGAGATTTTTTGGTGAAAAGCCAAGGACACACACCCAACCCTAACTATCCTTCCTTAAAATATCACTAACTTAACCCTTGTTAAAAAAAACTTTCAAATCCATCCATAATTCAGTATGAACCTGAAAATGTCCTCACAAATTCACTTCTTCATACACACACATACCTGGGATACAAAAACAATCATAAGAAATGACGAAGGAATATCACACACTTCATTTTCAGACTGTTTCAAAGAGCGGTCTCTGAGGGACGGTGGACGTTTGACAATCATCTGATCCTCCTTCAAAGTCGTGAAATCACCATGGACACGTGGCCTGTGGGAACAATCTGTCAGCGCTGAGCTGCATAAAAGCCTGTAGAACATTAGCCTCTGTCACTGCGCTGATAATTGTGTTGAGAGATGTTTTCTGAGGGATGAGGAAGAACCACTTAAGCCCGTTCTCCCGTGAACCCTCGACGCAGACTAGGGCTGAGGTGGAATTGCAACTAAGCAACATTTTGTCCCTGCTGACTGTTTCTTTTCGCTTCTGTTTTTGTTTTGTCAGAATGAGGTGATCAGTCAGCAGCTGGCGGCAATTTTCACCCAGTGTTACGGACCCTACCCCATCCCCAAACTCACAGAGATCAAGAGGAAACAGTCGTCCCGTCTGGGTGAGATCCTGACGACGGGTTGTGATTTTAACTTGTGTTAACTACCTGGAATATAAATATCATTATTCCCATTGGTAATGTAAGGACTTCAATTACCTTTATACTTGTTATGAAACAAATTACAAGTACCCGTTATGCCCTCTAGTGTTCAGAGAGATGAATAGAATCAGTAAATTACATGTACTATTGTATCTGTTATCAGAATTGGTAAAAATCCATCTCATTTTTCCTCTTGACTTTGCTTTTTGGCTGCAATTTTTTTGTCTGTGAGCAGCTTAAAATATGGATTTCATGGATAAAGTTGAATTGTTAAGTAAAGGTAGTCTTTCAACTAAGAAATGAAATCATAGTCGTCCAGGATCCTGACATGGATCCAGATGAGTCATTCTGTATACAAGTGTTTGATGAACATAAGCAGCAGTAGCAGGTGTTGGCTTAGCGTTATATGACTGTTTTGTCCAGGTGTGTGTGTGTGTTTGAGATTTATTACTGTCTGAAAATCATCACGCTTACCCGGCCACCTGTCTTTTAGATCCGCACTTCCTGAACAATAAGGAAATGTCAGACGTGACCTTTTTGGTGGAGGGGAAGCCTTTCTATGCCCACAAAGTCCTGCTTTTTACAGCTTCAAACAGGTACCTGAACACACCGGCCTTAATGGCTTTATATCCTTTAACCATCCAATAAGGTGTTATTAAAAATATATATATATACATACATATATTATATATATATAGTATATATGAGTCTATATATATTTATATATATATAGACTCATATATAACATATATATGCCTTAAGTAAATATACAGCATATACTGTGTGTATACATACATACATATATATATATATGTATATGTATACACACAGTTTATGCTGTATATTTTCTTAAGGCATATGAATATATGTAACTTCCACAGTTAAGGTAACGTCCTTTGTTTCTGCCCAGGTTCAAAATTCTTCTGGCGAACAGACCCTGTGGGGAAAACACATGCATTGAAATCAGCAATGTTAAATATCACATTTTTCAGGTGAAATATAATGCCATGCTTTTTGGAACTATTTTTTATGCATAGAAAAACAGTAAAAGGTATTTATTTAGTAATGGGTGTTTTCTTTTCTCTGAAGCTGGTGATGCAGTATCTCTACTGCGGGGGAACAGAAGCTCTTCACATAAGGAACACTGACATCATGGAGGTAAGGTCTCCATTCATCCGTCTATTCATTCATCCGTCCTCTACCACATACGCACCAACCACTCACACACACACACACACACACACACACACACTGCTGGTCAGTTCTGCAGGATTGTGTGAAGTGTGCATTGAACCCACAGGTAGAACCTGCTGCTCTTGAACCAGTAATCTTCCTGTGAGTCAGGTGTGCCCACTGCTCTGCAGTGTATGATTAATGAAAGGCTTTCTTGCAGCTCCTGTCGGCATCCAAGTTCTTTCAGCTGGAGGCTCTGCAGAGGCACTGTGAATTCATCTGCTCCAAGAACATCACCACAGAGTCCTGTGTGGAGCTCTACAACCACACTAAGGTATGACCTATTATATTTATTATTATTATTAGTATTATTATTATTCACAGAGAAGCTGATTGATCCTTATTAATTGGGTTAATTTCACATTCCTAAATATGACTTCTTATTGTTGTAAATTGCTTGAACAGAAAGATAAATATCAGCAGGTAGATATTCAAGTTTCACAGTTTTTTAGTGGACGCTGGGTTACATTACTGCCACCTCATGGCCAACTTGCATAAAAAATATAAATATAAATGAAATGACACCTTTAAAAATGGTTTTATCATCGTGATCTTTCAGGAAAAGTCTCCATTCAAATACTATAGAAGAGTGTGGCGGTGTGTGTCAGAGCCACTTGTTTTATTCATTTCCTCCAGTTCCTCGGTGCCCCAGACCTGGCCTCCTACATAGAGGGATACTTTCTGAAGAACATGGTAGTGCTGATAGAGATGGAGCCATTCAAGCAGCTGCTGTACGACGCCCCTCCCGACAGCCCTGGCTGTGACATCCTGCAGGACCTGGAGAAAACCCTTGCCACTCGCATTCACTCCATCCACCTGTCCTCCTCCAAGGGATCCATTGTCTGATCCCCCCCCCCCCGCCCCTCCAACTCACCCTCCACCATTTTGGTCAGACGGAGCCATTGTTTCAGATGATCCCAGCGCAGGCGGTTCTATGTCTGTGCATCTGCCTTGTTGATGCTCGTCAACTACAGAACAAAAACATTGTCGCAGTTTGCCAATATCATTTGTACTGTAGCGTCGCCCCCTGTCCTCCAGGAGTTTCTCTGTTATGAAAGACCTTTTAGTACATTAGAATCATGTGATACATGTTGTATGTAGTGAGAAGACGGGGGAACGTCACACACATTCACCTATAGAACTTGTTGATCTGGAACATCAGTGTGATGAGCCATCAGTGATTCCCTTCCTGGCCACGAGGGGGAGAGCTGCTGCCTCCCGCTTTGATTCTGACATCACATGGAAAATATTTGTCACGATTTGTGCAACACATCACTTTAATCCGATTTGCAACAACTGACAAGGACCTGCAACGTAACTGATGCGAAGTGGAGGGTTTTCTTCATCAGGATAAGTTTGAGGAAAGAGGTTTTGTTTTTCTTCGTTACTTGCTGTAGTGTGTATATATTGTTCATAAAAGCAGAGCTATTGATAATGTAAGTTATTGTAGATATAAATATACACAGATGTTGTTTTTTCACATGTGTCCATGGATCTGAGTGTAACAAGCTCATCTTTGAATCACCATCTGTGTTGATGTAGCTGTGTTGCATGTCAGATGTAAGACTGTCTTTTCTTTTTTTTGGAAACTATTGATAGCAGCGGCGGTTGCTGCTCTGTCTGACAAGGGAAGCTCATATTACAGGCCAGTGTTTCCCAAACTTTATCGGACACATATACAGCTTCTTCAAACCTCAACCAAACTGTTTGAAGTGTCGTTCTCAGTGAACAAAAGAAATTCAATTACAAATGTCCCTGGTCGAACAACACAGTGAGATCAAAATAAATTAGCCATGTAAATTATTCCGGGCCGCCCCCCAGTTTGGGAACCAGTCATTTTCAACATAAAGTCTGCTCTGCAGTCGTTTTGCTCAGCTACAGAGTGATATTTTCTTACTATTTTTTTACTTGATAATATATCAAATCCGCCCTCATTACAGACCACGTCAGTTCACCTGTTTTTTAAAAGTGAGGGGAAAACAGAAATGTCTGTTTTCACAATGGTGGTCTTTGTTAAAGGTTTATTATAAACTTCCCATGGAGGAGCTCGGCCACTAGGTCTAGGTGCAAGCCTCTTGTCTTTCCTGTTTTCAGACAATAAAAGTGAGAAAATGAACAAACAACTAAAACGGGGAAACAATAAAGATACTTTATAATATATAATAAATATAATATAGTTCTTGAAACAAAAAGGTGTTTTTTATTTTGATATATATATATATATACATATATATTATAACAACATGACTGTACAGTATGAGAAGAGAACGTTATCACAGAAGCTGTCGATGATAAAAGTTTAATTACTAATAAACTCAACCATGTCAATCAATGTTTAGTTCACGTTTAAAACACAAATAAACGGTGTATATTTGACCATTAACTATATGACGTTTCCGTAGCAGCTGAGCTTCCCCTGCCGTCTGAGAGCAACCGCCGCTAATTACAGAGAGCACTGAGGAGCAGCTATTACACCCGAGTGAGAACATTTCTGTCATCAGCATGGGTCAGTATAAATGTGCAGCACTCTTTTTCTTCTTTGGTCTTACGGTGTCATTTCTTTTTGTCCCTCCGTGTGAGTGTCTCCCTGGTTACTTTAGTCCTGACATGGGTGTGTTATTCTATTAGCTGTTCTCTAGGATTGTACAACAACTTTACCTGTACGTGTGTGTGACCTGATATATCTTTCCTCCATAAAGATTAATATAAGGAATACTGTGGATATGAGTTTGTCCTGCTGCAGTGTCTGGATCAAAAATACCAAGTATATATTAGTGTATATATATTGAAACACACACATATACATATATGTGTATACTGTGTATATGTATATGTTTGTTTGTATATATACAGTATGTATGTGTGTTAAAGTGTGATTGTGTATAAGGTTAAAATGTGGCATCTTAATGTTCTGTTGCTCACACCGCTGACTCGTTGGGTAACATTGCCCGAGTTGTCCCTGTTGAAGTGTTTCACTTGCATATATTCATTGCATATTGATTTCAAATGGTATTTTTACCCTGTTAGATTTTTGGTCTTATTCATTATAGCCTTAGGCTCTGTGACTCAGTAGAACCCAAAAAAATCTAAACCTTGTCCCTAATGTTCTTGGTCTACGATGACATCATTGTCAGTAACAGCAGGGTCAAACCTCTTAATATTTATTTGTAAAAGTTGAAACATCTCTGATCATCCGTCAGCAAAAACATTAACTGTCCACTGTGTTGTCTGTCTTTGACTGTGTACAGTCTTGCAGTGTCTGTGTAGGAGTTGGATTTAGAGGAGGGGGGGACACGGGAATTAGAATGGCGGGGGAATGAGTGACAGCAGTTGTTAAGGAGTCGTCATGGTAACTGCTGCCCAGTAACAATGTGTGGCAGGGAAAGCTCGCTGTGAAAGACTGAATGGATTCCTGAGGTGCACATGCATGTGGACATGGCCTCAACATTGACACAATGGGACACAACAACAGCCACGGCATGTCGTCATCCTGCAGCGCCCACTCCTGAACCAGCAGAGAACTGGAGTTGGAGGCGTTTTCAATCAGATCATATGTGTCACTTGCTTTGTTTCTAAAACCATGAAAATATAGGGCCCAGAGTTAGTATGGAACAGTGATACTTTTTGATTAGCAATTTAATTGAAAATGGACCACTTACGAAGGACATTTTAAGACTAATAATTTTTTTTATCTTTATTTATGTTAATCTGAACCCATGACAATAAAACAAAAAAATCATCTATGTATAAGAAAAGTGGAAAACTTAAATGCATAGAAGAACCAAAAAGATGCAGTTAGTTCAATTAGTTGAATATCATGCAGAGGTGTGTGTGTGTGTGTGTGTGTGTGTGTGTGTGTGTGTGTGTGTGTGTGTGTTAGCGTGCAAATGGGAGGGTCCATGAAGAGTTTAGCCCAAGAATTTTGCCCCCACCTCGAGCCCCTCTGTCCTGCCTTTGTTGTCATGCACAGGCGCTCCCTCTCCGGCACAAACTGGGCACAAGAGCCATGTGTTGTGGCTCAGCGCTTTGAAGGACTCCAAAAAACCCCTTTTCAGAACTGTTTCTAAGACATCTGCGGTCAAAGGAAACGGAGCGGGGGAGAAGAGAGAGAGCGAGAGAGGGGGAGAAAGAGGGGGCAGAATGGTGTTAACACGGTGAGGAAGAGAGATGTGCAGAGTTAAGGGCTGCATACGAAAGTAATCTGTTTCAATCTGGCTTTCTGAAGGATACGTCTGTTGGACAGTGTTCGGTGAGACTCTGCCAGAGGCTGGACAACAGGTGAGTGGGGACGGAACTATTTGTCAGAGAGAAAGAGCAAAAGAGGAGACGTGTTAGCGAATAACAACAAAAGTGTTTCTCCTGGAGGAAAGCTACTGGACTGAGTTAGTTTTGACGATGGTTTAACTTCTTCATGAACAAACTGTGAATTATGGACCTTAAATACATCTGTTGAATTGTTGTGTTCTGTGAAGTGCAGTGGAAAGAGGCTAGAGAGGACAGAGACAAAACTTCATCTGAGAAATGTCACATGATGTCATCTTTTTCCCTCACCCCTAGAGCTTGTTTTCCACTTCCTACCCAAAAGTCAACCGGTGCTTCAAGGATGCAGTGTGAGGAGCTGTCAGCCCGAGAGGAGTTCACCTACAGCCACATGTCCACTCTGGAGAGAGGGAGTGGAACTCTGGGACGACGGAGTGACAGGGGATCCGAAAGGAGGTCGAACAGGGGGGAGCGAGATAGTTACACCGTGGACGTGAGGGCCAGTGACCTGCAGCTGTCTCAGCCTGAGCCTCTAAAGCACCCCTGCTTCAGCTACAGGGCCTGGCTCTACAGTGTCCTCATAGGGGTGAGAGGAAAGACGGTCAGGACAGGACCGTTACTGTTGGAGTCCACAGGAACTATATTAAAGAGTTGGGGTACTGTAGTGGTTTCTGTGGTGTGAGGGACCACAGCCCTTTAATGTTAGCGACAGTAAATGTTGACCTGTCCTTCCAAACCATTATTCTGATTCATCTGGACACGTTCATTGAGATCCATAATCTGGTATTGCACCTTTATTTATCAGACGAAAAGACTTATTTTTATAACAATCTAATGAAATGAAAAAAACTTCATTATAAGGCTTAGAGGAGGTCATTCTGGAAGGTTCCACCATTAGCCACTTCATTTCAGTCTGAGATGTTCAGACCTAGACAACTGGACCGACGAGGTTTCTTGAAGACATTTCACCTCTCATTTAAGAAGCAGTTGTTTTAGACTCTCAGAACTGGAGAAGCTTTTTAAATGAGAGGCAAGACACCGAGCCGGTCCAGTTCCATACTCTAGAACTCCTCAGGCTGGCTCCACAGTCCTTTAAACACCCACTGTTGTGATTAATCTAAACCCAATTCTCCTCTTCAAATGGACACAATCTGTTCAGGTTCTACAGCGTTATCCTGGTTAAAGGTCAGGAGAGTAGCTGTACCCAGCAGTGATTTATGGGAAGTAAGAGGTGGTTTATGGGAATTTATGGGATTGATGGGAAGTTATCTAAGTAAGATGTTTAACCAACCAAATCTTAAGTCTCTGAGTTTGGTCATCTGTGGTCTGTGGGAACAAATCAAAGTAAGCTAGTGAAAACTGTAGACGTGCATCCTGTAATGGACAAATATAACGTATATAATCTAATGCAGTGGTTCTCAAACTGTGGTACCGAGAATATTCATATTTTCCCATTTTCTTCAATCTGAAACATGCCATGCACAATTAATACAACATTTAGAAAAGATGTGTAGCTACTTGTGATTCTAATGTTGGTCATCATGGTGGTACCCAGAGAGCTCAGTGTTTCCTCAGGTGGTACAGAGTAGTTTGTGAGTTTGAGAACCACTGATCTAATGTATCATTGTTGTTTTAGTTCTTTTCATGCGTGGAAGTATAAATACATCTGTATGTGTGTACACACTGTGTATTTCCAGGGCAGTCTACTCATTACGTCTGGCTTCTCTCTGTACCTGGGAAATGTGTTTCCTCTTGCTATGGATTACCTGCGCTGCGCTGCCGGTTCTGTGAGTGTATTTGGAGTCACTTCTACGTGCTGCTGCCTCCCGCCTTTCAGATTAATACTTTTATGAAAAGTATTTAGATTAACATGCCATGTCACGCAGCCAGCAGCAGTTTGTTTTTTTAAGGGCAGCATCTGCCACAACGACAGCAGCAGCTGCTGATTTGTTCTTCCACACAGGGCGTCCCTGCAGCCATAGCCAGCCTGGCCATTGCCAAAAACGGACGTGTTGCGGTGAGTAAGGAGTCCAACTGCATACTGATGTTTAAGTCACTACACTACATTACAGATGACGTGTTGTTTTTCTCCAAGGTGTCAGATTTCCAAGTGGTCTTTGTGTCAACCTTCGCTGTAACAACCACCTGTCTAGTTTGGTTTGGCTGTAAACTGGTCTTGAACCCGTCTGCCATCAACGTAAACTCACCCTTCACTCCATCACTTTGGTTCCATTACTGAATTAGCCAAGATATTTACCCTGGTTTATTTACTTCTGTTCTCAGATCAATTTTAACCTCATCTTGATGCTGTTGTTGGAGCTGCTGATGGCCAGCACCGTCATCCTGTCGGCTCGCTCTGTGGATGATTGCTGCTGCCACAGGAAGGTGTGTGTACATGCAGTGTGAATGATTGATTACTGTCACTCCACTCATTCTGTCCCTACAGCTGTCGCCATTGTTTTCTAGCTTTTTGTGATCTTTCTGACAACAACACACTAGACTCTGATTTCTGTTTTTGTTTCTGGGTCTGGGGCAAAAAAAAAAAAAAAAATCAAATTTGTAGAATCTGATCTGAATCAGGTGAGCGTGTGTGTAAACAAAGCCAAACATCCACATCAACGCAGAAAAGGGTTTTATTTTAGTTAAAAAAGTTTTATTTTTTCCAAAATAAAAGTTTTTGTTTTTTGTTTGCCAGATACTGTTACTGCTGAGCTGTCTGAGTCAGACGAGACACAAAACTGTTGTAAAGTAAAGTAACAAACTTTTTCCTGAGGCAGATTTTCTTTTCCATAATGTTTATTGCTAAAAACAAAAAGAAGCTCTTAGCTGTGTTATATTTTACTTGATTTTACGTCCCTCAAAAATAAAAAAGGAAAACTGATTTTGAAAGGACAAACCTGAGGAAAGGACAGTAAAGAATATTTCCATAAGTATCTTATTAATTGGTCAGGGTTTTTATCTTCTAACACAAGGGTTTCTATTCTTGACGCTATTGAACAGCGACTTTACCTAACTTTGAATAGAATGAAGTTTGTGACATATTTGTGCAAATTCTATACTATCTTTCACTAACAAATTCATTATTGTTATTAAATTTACAGGCATTTGTTTTACAAAGGTCCATCACACATTTTTAACTTACTTACTTTTTATCTTTACATTATCACTTATATTATTAAGATTAACAAAAAATGTTTGTTTTTTTTAGCATTTTACCACTTAACTCAAATAAGTCAGGATAGCTATACATCAAACAATGTGTGTATAGACAGTAAGGTTAAACTGGGATCTAATCACTGTATCCATTTTACAGTCATACGACAGACCTGTGGTTGTTACACCAGCTGTGTTCCCCACTCGACTCCTCAAAGCATATTCAGTGAGTAGCTTTTGTTCCTTTCTATATGACATTCATTACATTTTGTATATATGTATATGTATGTGTATATATGGCTGTATGTATTCCATCATTCAGTGCAGAGTGTCTCCACAGGTGATTGAGGTGATCGTGGGAATCTCTGCTGTATTTGGTGGCATTATCGCTCTCAACATGGATGCCTTGTTACCAGGTCCGTACTTGTCCGTCACATTCTTCTGGATCCTGGTCGCTGTAAGTCTTCCCTGATGAAACTGTGGAGTCAGAGATTATTACCCACTGGTAAAAATTATGAATGTCAGCCATTACTGAACGTCTGATTTTCCCTCCTCCACAGTGTTTTCCCAGCGCTATTGCAAGTCATGTGGTGTCAGAATACCCAAACAAATGTCTGGTGAGTTCAAAGCAGTACTTTCTGTGCTATTGTTGGGACCAGTTTACCTCTTAGTCTGCAGGTGCAGCATTTGAGTTCAAACTAAAGTGTTAATTTCTAAATGATTCATTTGTTTCAAGGAAAAGTCTTTCACCAGTCTCTTCTCAGAGAGTTTTTGTCAATAAAGTCTAAAGTGAATATCTTTGTATGGTGTTAAGGCAATCATTAAAAAAAATGAAAGTGAAAAAAGTCAAAAGGTCAGATAGATTGATGTTTTCTGGCAGACAAAATAAAAAAAAGCAGTGTAGTAATGATCTGGAAAAGAAAGAGGAAATAAATGCATTTTGACCCCAGTGATAGGTAGAACAGTTAAATATTCTTCCACTAGGTGGCACCTATAACAACTAAAAAAAGAAAGAGTTGAAGAAGATCTTTGTGTCTTTCTTCAATTTCTTTGAGTTTTGTGTTCAGCTAAATAGGCCCAGGTTTCACACTGAGTGAGTAGATTGTGAGAAAATTGAAACTAGAAATATACTCGATAGATAGATGGATAGATAGATGGATAGATTGATTGATGGATGGATGGATGGATGGATGGATGGGAGGTTGCCAGTGAATTTGACTCTGGAATCATCCATCACGGCCAAAATAATCACTTCTAAAGATAGAAAGGTTTTAGAATTCTACTCAAGTGTCTTTAAACAAGAGGAGATTGTTCTGGATAATTAAATGATCAATTATTCAGGATTGGATTGTGTAAATGAACATATGCTGCCAAAGTAAAAAGAGAAAGCCTGGCTGAATATGAATTGAATTATTTTGGAAATGTAAGACATTTTTACTATGTACGTTTACTTGATTTGCTGTAAAATGTCATGTTTCAGGTAAAACCAAAAATGTGTTGGCTGGTGTTTATTCTTTTTTTATGGGTCTCCAAATATAAACTCTGTTGCCCACATGCTCCCTGGGCTCTGGGGCTTTTCTCCTTCTTAGGTGGAGGTGCTGATTGCCATCAGCAGTGTGACCTCCCCACTCCTCTTCTCAGCCTCCGGCTACCTCTCCTGCAGCGTGATCAACTTTGTTGCAATCTTTCTGCATGATGTGCCTACAGCCAAGGTGAGCTCAGTGGTGTGGGAGTTAAAATCGACATACATTTTACTACATAGTACCTGTGAGTACCCGAGATTATTTAATCTCCCTTACACCTTTGTGTGTGTGCATTTTTGCGGTCCAGCAATCCTATGACATTCTGCTGCTCATTCTGATGGTGCTGCTGCTGGTGCAGGCAGTTCTGACTTCGGCCACTGTGGTGCACTGTGCCACCTATAAGAGTCTGCTCCGCATGGGAGCTCCACAGTGTGAAGACAGCATGCACACACTCAACTACTGCTGTGAGGTGGGACCAGTCGAAGCACAAATGTTATTAGTATTTAGCTAGTATTTTCCGTGTCCTTTTCTCACTCACCGACATCTGTTTACAAATCACAGCTCATATCGACAACAGCCTAAAATCCAGCGAGCATTTTATCGTATATGCAAATTGATATTGCCTTGTTAATTGGTCACACATCATTTCTCTCACCCCTTCCCCTTCTGCACCCTCCATCTCTCCCCTCTAAACCCCTCTCTCTCTCTTTTCTGCACCCTCAGCAGCAGGCGTCTAATGGAGCACAGGATTTTGACACAGACAGAGCTTGGAAGGCAGTTGTGGTCCAAATGGCCAACTGAACAGAACACAGAACAGAGGGACGTTCTGATGAAAAGTGCTAAAAGCTGGACTAAAACAAATGCCATATAAGCTGTAAACACAAGAGCGTGATCATGCACAGAGAACAGACGCAGAAAGGAGGAGGAGAAATTGTGAAGTGGTTAACAGAGGTCAGACGGAAAAGAAAAAAAAAAGAGGTTTGGGTTTAAAAAAGCACACATACTTAATTATAACACACCCCCTTCAGGTACATGAAATGTTTGTGTGTGTTTCTTTTTATTAGTCGGGATTTAATTATAAACATCACGTGTGTCTCCATTTGAATTATGTGGATCTGTAAAGAGAGAGAGTGAGAGGAGAGGAGAGGAGCTAATGCAAGGTGAAGTGATTTGTGGAACGGAATGAGGATCTGATGCTGATTGTTCAGTTTGACTGTGGCTTATTGATTTCAGTATGGTTTAAATAATTAAATAGGCTGTTAACAGTCAGAGATCCCTTCAGTTTCCCTTTTATTGATCAGTCAGCTCCGTTGTTGTTAGCAGTTCTGTCATGTTGTTAGGAGTTATGAAGGATGAATGAAAAATTAATAAATATACAGCCTATGATAGCGGTAACATATTTACCCATTAACTGGACACAATTTTAAACTATGGATGCCAAATGTAAGGCATGTGGGCCAACTTTGGCTCAATAAATCAGTACATTTGGTCCAGTAAATGTAGGGTTAAACAAAATTTTTAAAAAAGGAAATGCTACATGATATATACTTTTTTATACATTTGACATTTTAGACATTAAAGGATTGTTCACCTCATATTTTTATTCTGAGAATCATATTGGCTCCACCAATCCCAAATATGGCTGAACAGTTTTAATGATTGGCGTTATTTAGAAAATTGTTAAAATGTGAATTTTAATGTGAACACCAGATTTAGAGCTTCCAAATCTGATGCACCTGCACCTTATATGTTAACATGTAATGTAAAGTGTTTTTTAAGGTTATTTAGGAACATGGAATATTGGATGTAAGAAAATGTGGCCCCTGTTGTACATTATTTAGAGTAAGTGATGTTTACTGCAGCAAAGTGGAACCTGTGTGGTCATACTGAGTAGTGAATAGTATAGTAGCATTTACTATTAAATTCATTTAAAATGACAAGTCAAACAGTGACTGTAGGAGTGTAAACAACTAACATATGTGCCTATGCATCAGAGTGAGTTCCCAGGGAATTACACACAAATAGATTGAATTAATTATATCCTGATTATGAATTCTACTACAATAAATAGACAGAGTAGGCCTTAGTTTGTCCATGTTTATATTCCACAATCAGTCAATGTGTTTCTTAGATTTACTGTTTACTTCTACTCTCGGACTATCAATGACTTGCTTCGTGTGTAAATGACAGTTTCTTGTTAGGTGACTGTACATATGCTCTTGTGGAAATGGAAGTGTCTCCAGACTTCACTGACCTCACAGGGTGGTGGGTGACTGTTCTACCTAGAGGCTGTGGTCAGAGTCTTCTAGTTGTTAGAAGTATGCTTAAAGATAAGGGTTGTTGGAGTAGTAATGTCTCTGTTTGACAGTTTCCCGCTCTTGGATGAACAGCAACAACAAAACGTACTGGTTTATCATTTTAACCCACACCTTTGTTTGACCCCTGTTGACTGACTGTGTGTTTATACTGCCCGATATTGAGTCTACTGCCCATTGTTTTGTACATTAAATGACTATTATTTTTCTCTGAAAACTTTGTCTATACTTTTTTGCTCCATATGACACATCAACTACAAATCTTTTTTCTAGTCCCTCGGGTAGCTCATTGTTACTTTTCCCCAAGTCTTCCCCTGTCTCTGCAAAAGTCCACATTTTTTCCATTTTTTCCACAACTTTATCCAAGGCTTTCCCCGTTATTACATCCTACACTCTCATCTCCTGTGCTGCCTGGCTGTATTCGCTTCCTTTATTTCATAAGGAACGGCCTGTACACTGTGTGTTTATTTCTTTCCTCTTGATGTGACCCTTTTTCATTTCTCTTGTGTTGACCACAAGCACTTCATCCCCTGTGAAAAGATAACCCTACAACCACATGTGCTTCAGCAACTCCTCCTCACAACATTCCTACCCAGCTCCTTCTCATCACCTCTGCTCCCTTTGGTAACACAGATTAAATCCCGCTCTGATCAATCCTCTGTCTCCTTCTCTGACACCTACACCTCTCCATCCAACACACAATATACCTCCCTTCTTTCTTTTCATCATATCTGTCTCCTCTCCTACTTCACCAGCCAATGAACATTCACTCAGTGTTCCTCTTCTAACATCTGTGCCCCCTGTCTTCATATTTCCTCATATCATACTTAGAGAATTAATTTGCTTTAAAAAAGAAATATGAGTAATAGTTTTGTTTTTGTATGCAAACTACTGAAATAAAATTAGTATATTTAGAAACACAGATAAAAAGATAGATAGATGGATAGAGAGAGGAGAGAGAGAGAGAGAGAGAGAGTATGGAGGGAGAGACAGGGAGAGAGAGCAGGGCTGTGTTCTGCTTTGCTCTGCTCTGTAACCGGCAGAAACCGGCTTTAGGAGAAAGTGGCTTGTGGCTCAGACCAGCTGAGAACATCACTGCAGCGTCTTCTCATGCAGATGTAAGAGTCCAGAGATGAAGATGATTGATTACTGCAGCCACAAAAAAGTTAAAAGCTGCTTCTAATTAAGCCGATCATGACATGCCTTTAGTCCTGATCCACCTCATGTGCTGTAGGCATACAGGATTCTGCTGCCGCTGACTGTGATGATTTAAATAGAGAGGCCTTCAGTGCATTCAGATGTATTACTGAAACCAGTCACAGACAGTAGGCAACACCAGCCGCAACAACTAAAGACACCAATTCATCTTTATTTATCTATTTTTATCTATACTCACAGAAATTATTGGTATACAGTTGTGGAACTTAATATATATATATATATA